TGAGTAATCTCTACTACTGTGTGACGAACACACTTCTAGTCCTGTTTGGTCCTACACTGTATTCAAAGGACACTCCATTGCGTTTGAACACAAATGTCAGTAATAAGTCTCCTAGTCAGCAAAGAGAGTCTGCCATGTTTTTAAATATCTTTCTTAATGGAAAAGCATCTGAAATCCCTCTGTGCCCTTGCTACTCCTGGAATGGAACAAGTTTTGCTTTTTATTTCCTTCCCCTAGAACAGAGCCAGGCTTCTTTCAGTGGGCCAAAAACAACCTTGGTGTTTGTGATGCTCCACAGTTGTTGGTTTTGGCTTTTTCAGGAATCTCTCTTGAGCATGATACAGTTGTAATGCTTTAAGATCCTGTCCCCTTTCAGAGCTATGATACAGGTGCACAAGGTATTTATTATAAAGTTGTAATGTTCACCATTTATTTGGAATGCTGTGGTATTTTTTTTGTATTGGATCTATGCTGTTACTTACTGTTTGGGAGCATCCTAGGGATTATGTGTAGTCTCCTAAATGCTGTGGATTGCTGAATAATTCCTGTGCCCATTTAGTGAACAAGAAGGTGCACGCTCTCAAGATGCATCCCTGTTTAGTAGGTGTTTGGAGTTGGTCAGTTCTGGACCAATGTCTGTAATGGATTTATGATGATTTGCTCAGCGCTTCAGAAGATGCAAATAAAGGCCAGGTCTACACTACAAATATCTGCTGGCATAGCTTTGTCAGTCAGGGGTGTGAAGAGGTGTGATCTGTGACCGACATAGCTGTGCCACCTGCTTTTGCTGGTAAAGTTTATTTTGCTTGTGGGGGCTGGAATAAGCGGTGTCCACACTAGGAGCATTTGCCAGTATAGCAAAATAGATTATAGCTATACTGGCAAAGCGCTCCTAGACCTGGCCTGGGACAGTGCTGCTCCATTGAGTTCACTACACTGTTGTTGCTAAATCAACAGGAATCTCTAGTCTGGGGAACTCTTAATCCGTTAGATTGCATTGGAGTGCCTGGAGTTGAAAATTGACTACTGGTTTTAAAATCTTCTGCCCAATCTCTGCTACTCCATGGCTGCTTTAGAAAGCTCACTGTTTTTCATGAGCCCTACAAAATAACAACGTGTGGTAGTAGTTACTTAATACTTGTGATGCTGATGCACAAAGACACATAAGGAAAACTGAAGCACTGTAATAAGAGACGTCATTAAAAAACACACACCATGCTAAAAAAGCTAAAGAAGACAGGCTGAGGAAGGAAGGTCACAGACGTATTTTCAGAAATCGTAAATAAGAGTTAAAATGTAAAACTTCCTTCCTCTTCTCCCCCCCCTCTCCCCCACCCAGGTACTGACTTGCCCATTTAGGATAGTTACTTCCATAGTTGGCATTTGTGCTGTAACATGGAAATGAATATGCCAGCTACTTCAAGAGGGGCCTCCACAGCTAGTTCCCTGATATATTTGATATGATGTAATCAAAGGTCTTTCCCCTGAGCAACTGCATTAGAGCTTTCTCTCTGCAAAGCCTTATATCAAACAGGCATTTGCAATTCAGGCATATTGCATGTTCTGGACATCACTATTTCCAAGTGACACAAACTGTGAAATAAATTGGGTTTTAGTTCAGTAACCTACTAAATTTCTCATTTGTCTGGCTAGGCAAGACCTATTGTTGTCTCTCATTTCCCTTCCCACATATCTCCTTTATAGAACAGCTTAAAATCACTCTCTCTCTTTGCGGGGTGGGGTGTTATGTGCACATAGAACAACAATCATACTGTTAGTGAGAACAATGCAACTAGCTGACCATTTGCTCTGATTGAGCAATAGGTATTTATTTCTATGTAGGTGTTGGGTTTAGTTATGTTGTAAGTAACATTTTTCTCCCCTTCCCTATCCATATGGCTCGATGACACAGAAGTTAGTCATATTTTACATGACTAGATGATAAATGTGGGTATCTGGTGCCTTTGTGTGCTGCTGTCTCTTCCTCTTAATCAGGAGTTCCGGAAACAAGCCATGAAAACCAGACAAATTGGATGTGTGCTGTGACTCTCCAGTATGGCTAATTACAGCATGCATAGTTTTTTAAAGTGCTTGTCACTATCAAATAGTGGAGATCCTAGTCTCCTAGGGCTTTCATGCAGCTAGTGTGTGCTTCCCTACCAGACACAAATGCCATATGGGGAGGGGAGAAGAAATGAATAATTACTATTTTGCTCAGGCTTGCATTTTATTCTTTGTCCTCCACCCTTTCTAGCATCCACCCGTCTCTGGGAACAGTGTTAAACTTCTGCACATTAGAGGCCGGATTCACCAGTAAGCTCTGGCTGCCTTGTGTCGCTGAGACAGCACAGAACAGCCAGAGTGTACCGGTGAATGTAGCCCTCGGTTTTTAAATTTAAATAAAAAGTATGTGTGCGCGAGCACTAATTTGCATTGGCTTATATTTGGAAGGGTTTTCTATACAGCCATAAGAGCTAGAAACTCAGGTATCCAGTGAAAGCTTGCATGGCACAGAAATTGCTGACGCAGGCCACTCTTGCCAGGGAACCCTTACCATTCATCACTGGCTAGTGGAAGAATGGATTTTTTTCAAGCCTTGAGATTGACAACATCATTCAATATTTCTTTATCCTGAGTACGTGAGACTTTACCCAGAGGGATAAGGTGGGTCTGAACGTGGTAATGGGAAGCACAAGTAATAAAAAATATTAACTGGTAACTAACTTACTGATCTTAAAAAGAGAAAGTTTAACCCCTTCACTGCTACCAGAATGTTGCTACATTCCCGGCCTATTTCCTTGGAGAAAACCATTTGAATGATAGGACAGCTAGAGTGGGAGAGAAGCTTGTAATGCTGAACGAGACCTAGTGGAAGCAAATTTTCAATACAATTCTGGATTGCATGTGAGTATGGAGGGAACTAGAAAGATGGAGACAAATGGGAGGGAGAATATTTTGGAGTATTCTAAAGGAGTTGTCAGCACATTGGAACCTTCAGACTTTGCCCACCCTGTTTCCCTTCTTTTCCTTTAGAAATCCAAGGGCTGGTCTACATGCCATTCCTGTACTGCTTTACCTAGATTGATCTGAAACTGGTATTGTTCAATTGGCACAGCTCCTAGTGTGGCCACAGTTATATCAGTGCAAAGGTACTTAAAGTTATAGTAATAAGCCTTTATACCAATATAACTGTTTGTGTGTCAAGTGTAGGGGTTATACTGATTTAACAATATCAGTATAAAATCACAGCGTTAACTGAAATAGTTAAATTGGTACAAAAACTGTGTGGAATAGGCCCAAATCAGAGATGGTTAAAAGCATGAACACGCTCTGGCAGATGCTATATATCCAAGAGAACCCAGCCAGTGTTCTTATGGCCTCCAAATGCTCTGCTTAATTCTCTGTTCTCACTTCTCATGTTGCTTACAGCTGATTTTTGGAGGCCAGTCCTCATATTCAATGACTTCAATATGAACTCTCCCTGGGTAAGAGCTTCATATTGAAGATGATAGTGGTTTTATTCCAGATCTGGGTCAAAAGTTAATTGGAATTAATTCTTGAGGTTCACCAGAGGGAGAAGAATGGAGGATAATCTACAAACTAATTAACCAAGGTCTAGAGAGTGTGTTGACGTGGTGTATGTTTGGTGTTTAATAGAGATCAGTGAATTTAAGCAACCATTTATAATGAGAAAAATCACTAAACTTTTTTTTTTTAAAGAGGAAATTTACATTTCTATTTGGAGGAAGGTCATTAACTCCAGGCTGGTTACCCAAAACTCGTTTGGCTGGGAGGGAAAAGGTACTTTTTAAAATAGATGTCAGGGAAATGCCTCCACAGAATTTGAATGCTGAGATCAGTGAAGTACGGGGCTGGATTTTGCATGTATGAAATCCAGCTAATGAACTATAAAAGGAATTGGAAATCCAAATACAATGCGCATAATAAGGGTTAGTGTCAAGTATTCCATGTAATACCCAGGAAATCCACAAATGTAATTGATCTTGATGTTCCCCCTGCCATGCATTTCAAAAGATAAAATAGTGCTTGGAAAGCTAGTGGATTTTTATGATGTTTAAAAGTCCAGATATATTAGCGCTCTGTGTGTGTATAATAAAAATATGCAATATATGGATAGAAAAGGTGTTTGTGGTCTTCAATCTCACCATCATTCAGGGGACAGAATGAGAAAAAGGAAACAGTGTCATGAGATAGGCGATTCATCTGTTTAAACAAAACCCTTATGTACTATTTCATTTTTCTTTCTTTTTTTTAATCCAAGAAAATAATTTAAAGTTATTGAGAGCTTTTTTTAGCAGTGGTAACAAGAACATTTATCATTTTAAAGAACTTTAATAATGCTAATTAATTTGGAGCCCTGGTTTTGTCGTCCTTGTCATCATGGGGACCAGGATGTGGATTTGAATGGGGGGGGGGTCAAACTCACATTTTATACTCTTAAAAGTTCCCTCTCTCCCCTCCCCCCGATTTCCCACCTCAATGTAATTAAATTGCATTGCATATGGAATAAATTGCTGCATGTAATATTTTTAACTCCAAAGACACAAACCACATATTTAAAGCAATGAAAGCTGCTGCTTATGATAAATATTTTACATGTTTCAAGTATACAAATAATGGTGAAACAGCTTGCTTTTTTCCCCCCATTCCCCCCACCCCCTTAAAGGAGTTCAAGCAGAAGAAAAAAAAAACTGCAAACTAACCATTGCTTCCCTGCTGATGCCTTTGGATAGGTAGTTTCAGCCTATCATGATTGTTTAAAAATATATATATTTTAAAAACCCTGAGGCTTTAGCATGAGAAATGTTTCTCCCTGTATTCGTAGCAGGCGCACAGCTTGCAGTGCTGGAATGCACCCAGAACTCCTTAGTCAGTGTCAAACCTAGTATTAAACAGCAGTCTGTTAAACCAGTCTATTAAACACAGGTTTGTCCAAGTGGAAATGGTGGGCTCACAGACCTTATTCTCTTGTCTTGCAGGTGGTGAAGAGAAGGTGAAAGGAAGAGAAGGTGGAGATGGAACTGCCAAATCATGCCAAACAACTGCTACTGCAGCTGAACCAGCAACGAGCCAAAGGTTTCCTCTGTGATGTGATTATTGTGGTAGAAAATGCCCTGTTTCGTGCCCACAAGAATATCCTGGCAGCCAGCAGCATGTATTTCAAATCCCTCGTCCTGCATGACAACCTGATTAACTTAGACACGGACATGGTGAACCCCACCGTGTTCCGACAGATCTTGGACTTTATTTATACTGGGAAGCTCTTAACGACTGACCAGCCCGGTGAACAGAACTTTAATGCTCTCCTCACCGCAGCAAGCTACCTCCAACTGCACGACCTGGCAGCTCTCTGCAGGAAGAAACTGAAGCGGAATGGGAGGTCTTTCGCTGGCAGGGCCGGCGGCCCCAGTGTTGGGAGACCCCCCAGGAGTCAGAGGCTTTCTACCACTTCAGTCATCCAAACTCGTTATTCAGGGTCAACTGAGGGCACGAAGGGCTCGCACTCAAAAGAGCTGCCAAAGGGAAAGGTCTCTGACGATGAGATCTTCATCAGCAGCTCTAACCAAGAGAACTCTCACTCCTTAAGCAGGGGAGCCAGCAAGAACGGTGGCAGTGCAAATGGAAGCAGCGGCGACCAGGAGCTCGGCCTCGACCTGTCCAAAAAAAGCCCGTCGCTCCCCACGGCAGCCTCCCAGGACGACACGCAGCACAGCGAAAGCCAGCACGGCTCTCCCCAATCTGCCTCAGCCCCCGCAGCCAACAGTGCCTCATCATTCGACGAGTCTGCAGCCGGAGCCCCCCAGAGCGCAGCAGACAGCAGCGAGCCCATGGAGATGGACATGAACGAGGAGAGCCACTCCCTGGTGGAGAGCGGCCAGCGTAAGAGCCTCCGGCACTCGGCGCGCAAGAAGGAGTGGATCAAGAAAGACAATGCTTTTGACCGGAAAGAGGGGGGCAAAGGTGGCGAGGAAGGCGAGGGGCTGCCCAATGGCATCCTGGTGGGTCCCTTGTCCAAGTCGGCTGAGCGGAACCTGAGCAACGCCTATGGCCCGGAGCAGGCGTTCCAGTGCAAAGAGGAGATAGAAAACGGCAAGGAGATGAGCGATGACAGCGGACAAAGCGAGTGTGAGAGCGGGGGGCACACCAGCGCCAACTACGTCTACCGGCAGGAGGGGTTTGAGCCTGTGGCCTACGGTGACAACCTGTATGTCTGCATCCCCTGCGGCAAGGGCTTTCCCAGCTCCGAGCAGCTCAATGCCCACGTAGAGACGCACACCGAGGAAGACCTCTACATCAAGGAGGAAGGCACGTACGGTGGCAAGGAGGAAGCTGAAGATTTGTCCAACCCTAACCAGCCCTACGCTGCAGAATCCCGGCCCTTTAAGTGTTCAGTATGCGAGAAGAGCTACAAGGATCCAGCCACTCTGCGGCAGCATGAGAAGACTCACTGGCTGACACGGCCCTTCCCTTGCAACATCTGCGGCAAGATGTTCACACAGCGGGGCACCATGACACGGCACATGCGCAGCCATTTAGGGCTCAAGCCCTTTGCTTGCGAGGAATGCGGGATGCGCTTTACCCGGCAGTACCGACTGACAGAGCATATGCGTGTCCACTCAGGAGAAAAACCCTACGAATGTCAACTGTGTGGTGGAAAATTCACCCAGCAGCGCAATCTGATCAGCCACCTGCGAATGCATACCTCTCCCACATAAGCCAAAGACTCCAGAATGAGCTTCGAGCCCATCCGCAGTGATTTACCTTTCTGTAGACTTGCTGCTTAAGAGGGCAACTCCCCTCCTCTGTTCAGTCATGGGCGGCCTAAACAAACGTAGCTTTAAGATATTTTTTTTTTTATATATATAAAAAAGAAACATAGGTCCACAGCCAAGCTGATGCCCTTCTCAAACCATTCCCCAGCTCTCCCTTTCTAAATCTCAATGGTGTGGCAAGAAATGCCATCTATTTTTGTGGGTGTTGACTTAGCCTCTCTTTTGATCCCTCCACCCAGGTAGCAGGAGTGAGGTCTCCTGCCTGTTGGATGGTAAGTGGGAATGGGGAGAGAAATTCCATCTGATCAACTAGGGCTGTACCAACTCTTTTTATTTCCCCCCCTCTCTTCCTTGGCACTCCTGCAGTGCTTTATAGACATTGATCAAGTGTTATTTCCCACACTAACGAAAAGTGCAAGTGGAACGTGTCATCCACTGGCTACTCTGTGGGCTTTGCCTTTCCTTTTGCGTTCATGTTACATTACTAATGTCCCTACAACCAGATTCAATAAGGGCATTTCTTGCCACTCCTTAAAAAAATGAACCCCATTTTCTAACAGCCCAAGTGGCTACAAAACCACAAAGCATTGCTTTTGCTGTACCCAGTGCAGAAGCTGTGGACTGACTGTAACAGGGTTGGTAGCCCATTTAAATTCTGTGGGAAGCTGTGATGGGAGTTGTCATCCTTCCCCATGAGGTGGAGATGGCTAAAGCAGTCTACCTAGGTGTGTGCCAAGTAGTATTTCAGTTAAGGAAATGGCAACACATTTTTTTTTCTTTTGGGTTTAGTCTTTAATCTTGGCATACCTAACCACATGCCTCACCCCTCCTCTCCACCTCTGCAGCCTTACCCATGACTGAACAGGGGTGTGGATGCCCTGGAAATTTCTTTCAGTGAGCAGGGGGTAGTCTTTACTTTTCTAGTAGTTTCGTATGAATATTCTTTGCTTAGAGGTACTTGTTTTATTAAAGGAAAAACCATTGTAATGTTTATGTGAATGTTTGAACTGGAAGGTCTGAGGTTAATTCTTGGGGTGGGTGGGGTAGGGAAAGGGTTTGATGTAGGCTGGACTTGCTACAAGTTCCTTAGGTTACTTTTTTTTTTTTTTTTTTTGTGTGTGTGTGTGTATGTTTTTAGCTTTCCTCCCTCACTAAAGAGCGAGTCTGTGTGAACAGACCCGTTACCTTTGCTACCTCTTGAATTCATGAGAACAATAAGATGGTTAGTGAAAGATTAGGCAGGTATTTTTTTCTTTTATTGTAAGTAAATGTATAAAGTAGAAGCTAAATTAAAATTAAGGGATTTTTTTACCACCCCGTCCTTCCATCAAAAGTCAGCTAGAAAAATATTAAAGCAAAGCTCGGCCAAAGACAAAAATGTATTAAGCCAGAGACCCCAGTGGATAGATGCTTAGAATGGTTCACTCAGCAAACTCTTGGCTTTTTGTAGTCACTTTTAGATAAAAGAAAGGAAACTTCTTAGAGCTTTTGGGCCCTTTCCAGCTTTGTTTATTGAACCTGGATGCTATGGAAAAAAGGTCCCCTCATCCTCCATTCTTCCAGTACATCTGGGTCAGTGTGTAAACACCTGGCAGGACAGAGGGTGAGGGGAGTAGCAGCCTATAATTTACTAGAATCCAGAGTGCAATATGATGGGGAGGAGGGGGAAAAAAAAAACCAAAGTGTTTCATATCCTCCCTTTTAGAAAATTGCTCACACACACACACACACAAAATGAAAAAAGCAACAAAATGTTTTTGCAACATCTGCCTAAGACATCACAGCCAACAGCTGCTATTGGTTTAGGAGAGAAGACAGAGAGTTTAGCCTGCCGATTCTTGGCCCCTCGACTTTGTTGGCGTGCCCTTGTGGAAAGCTATGGCTTATTTCAAGCCTCCCATGACTGGTGGAGTGTGGTGGTAAAAATTCACAGCCAGTAGAATCATCCCTTCTGAACTGAGTAAGGTTTACACCCTTCCCTCCTGGCTCAAAACCATTGTCCTCCCTATCCATTGGGTTCACTGAACCCTGCCTGGCTTGTTTTCAAAACAAACAAACAAAAAATTTTTTTTTTACGTTTAGACCAAAAATAGACAAGTGAGCACGTTCAATTAAAACAAAGACATATAAGCTTCATTTTGACTAGTGTTTTTCTGTTAAGGTAGAGTAGTCCATGAGAAGTTTATTGGGTCATTTGAATGAACTGAGGAAACTGGAATCCAGGCTCCATGCAATAGACAGATCCCAAACCTTGCTGAGCCTTGGCCTGGTGTCCTATTCCAGAGAACACACTTTCCCCCACTCTTTTGCCCTCCCCACACCGCCATGGTTTTTCTAGTGCCATTGTCTTGTTGCTCCTAGACTCTGTCAGTGAGAGTCATGGGGCAGCCGTGGGGAGAATGGATCTCTTAATCCATGTGCTGAGATGCGCTGTTCTTTAGTGTCTAGCATTTCCATGTTTAAAAAAAATAAAAATCTTCCTCTGAGCCCTTGCCAAACCCTCCTGAGAAAGTCCCTTGAAACATTTGAATAGTGAAGGCCTCATCTATCAGCCTTCTCCTCAGAGAAGCCTTTAGCTGGGCCAAGGAACACCAGTGCAAGATTAGCATCTAGGCTTATTTTTTTTATCCCTCTTTCCGCTTTTGCCCCTCCCTCTAAAAGCCCTAAAGCTGAATTGAATCCCGTATGGGTTTAGAGTGCAGCCAGAGCAGAGTTCCCATTGCCGCTGGCTGGCTAAGAAACCACCGAGTCCAGAGTTTCAAAATGATTTTTCAGCTCTGTTGTTCAGGAACACACAGCTGTCGATGGGGCTTTGCTTCTTGCTTTGTGGGGCGTTCCCTCCCTCCCCTCCCCACCCCCCGCTTGTGGTGCTACAGTGAATGTCTCCATTCCGTGCTGCATATTCCTGAGGTGCATCTGCCACACGCTTCTATCCTCTCTAACGTGTCAGTGATGGGACTGGCCAGGCTTTGAATTGCTAGAGCAAAGCTGGTAATGGGAAGGGGGGCGGGGGGGGGGGAAAGTGTGTGTGGGCAGAATCCAGCTTTAGGAAACTAGCTCAAGCTGTGACTGAGCCAAGACATGGAATGCAGAGAGCATGAAGACCAGAGCTAGGCCCTATTATTGAGCAGATACCCCACTCCCCCCTTGTTTGATTAGACTTACAGGTGTGTGTGGGTGTTTTTGTTGTTTTCCTCCTTGATTTGTTTCTTAAGCCTTGAGAATCATTTTGAAGTTTCAGGACCCAATGCTATATATTTTTTTAAAGGAACCTCCTTTTTTTTTTCTCCCCCCCCCCTCAGCACTTAAACAATACGACATAAAGTCTGTGTACAGCAAGAGTATTGTACAAAAGGAAATTTTCTTTTTCTTTTTCAAGTAGCTGTGTAGAGGTGTGTTCCATAGACTGAATATAAACAACATTTTCCAAATTGTGACAGTAATAATGATAAATAACTAATAATACTCAAAACTTCAGGGACTGTTTGAGGCCTGCTTGGGGGCCTAAACACTCAACTGCATTTGTACGACATAGTATTGTATCAAACATTTTTCTGTATTTTAATGAGAAAGCAAAACACTAGTTTCATATTTAAGATTTTAAGAGTTCTAGGGTTGGGGGGGAGGGAGTTACATTTTTTTAATTTTGTTTTTTTATTTTGTTTTTTTTTTTAAGATACACAAAGAGCCTCAAGAGGAATAAAACAATTTAAAAACAAAAATAGAGGCCAGGCAGCTTAAATATATGCTTTAGTCACTTAGTTCCAGAATGTTTTCGGAGTAACAGGATAAAATAGCAAAAGTTGTATTAAAAAATAAAAAAGCTCATACCCAAATTCACAAAACTATTTTTTAAACCAAAGCACATTTGAATGAGTATGGAACCTCACTTGGCTCAGAAAAATACTAATATATTTATCTCATTGTTTACATAAACGTTTACAGTTTCAGACCTCAACAGATCTAGGGGCCAGTCAAAATTAATCTTTCCTTTTTCCATTGATTTGTCTTTGAAGACTATAACAACATTTCTTAAACTAGAAGCACCCCCCACCCCACCCCCAAAAAAGTCATCTATGAACCAAACTGCATTCCAACACTACTTAGGGTTTGGGAGATGTAATTAGGGAAATGGGTTTATTTTATTTTTGTCCTCACAACCCATAAGAGATGTCTTAGAAGAAGAGAGACACACCACACCTGCAGGGTTGTTTTGGGTGTGGGTAGCCTCATCTGCTGTGTTTCGTTGCTAAATTACAAAAAGAAAAGTCTATCATTGACAACTAAGGTAGAGTAGGCCTTGGGTCTGTGCCAATGGGAAATGGGGGCAGAAAGAAGAGAGTGGGTATTAGTCCTAAGGAGCCTGACTCTTCCTCTAAAGGTCTGGCTGTGTTACCAGCAGCGTGGGGAGGAATATATGAGACTCGAGAAAGGAGAGACTGATGGCGCCTGCAAATGGCTGAAGCTGCTGTAGCCAGTACATTTCCCTAACATTGGCCACAAGAGCTGGGCTAATCTCACATTCTATCCCTTTAGTGGGAGCTGCCAAAAGAAACCCAAAAGCCCAGCCCAGTGCTGTGGGGTAGCTGACAGAAGCCACAAAGATCACAGGAGACACCAAAGAGCTCTTGCCATGCAGCTTCTGTGAGTCTTTGTCGCTATGGAAGAGAAGGGAAAGTGCAACTTTCAACTGGCCCTCTGCACTGAATAAAAACTATTGCAGAGCCCACACAACTCCCTGATGGCCAACCTGGTTAGCTTTAATGGTCTGGGTTGAGGGCAGTAGTATATTGTACATATAGTGCCCTTCCTACATTCAGGATTGTGCAGAAGCATGAGCCAAATTGTTTGGACTGTTTAATCCTTCTGTTAATTAAGATAGCTCTACTAATTCACTCCAAACCTTAATATCTTGTGTAGAAGAGCCCAGTCAAAACCCATGTGGAAACATATGCTTGATTTGCATGTTAGAATAGTCTAAAGATTGCCAATGACGATGGTTTGTTAAAATACTGCTGACGCCCAAAAAGAAAAAAATTAAACTCAAAAAGTTCCCCACCCATAGTCTTGATTCTTTCTTTTTAGTTTATAAAATTTGACACCAAAGCCACTTCAAACACCTGAGGGAGGCTGATGGAAAATGAAACATTAATTTTGCCTGGTCTTAATATCTAACAAAGATGGTGCAAACACTATTTGACAGTGTTGTTTTTTGTATCAATATGTATGTGCAGTAATGAATGTATTTATTTCTCAGATTCTGTATGCACAGTTTTGCAATGAAATTCAGAACAGTTGCAAACACAAAGATGTGTCCGCAGGGTCTTCTCTACAGGATTTCAAG